CGGTGAAAGTACACACTTTTCACTCTGTTTACATTGAATCACTTGTCATGTGTATTCAGTTCAATATTTCATGGAACAAATCAAATTGGCTGAGGACTGGCATCTGTAATGGTGGGCACCACAGGAGGAGGCTGAGATAGATCACCCACTTGGCACTTCTGGCACAAGATTGCTGCAAAAGTGAGTTGTTTTAATTGTCCACCATCCTGCACAACTAGATGTAGCAGGACTGCAGAGCAGTAGATCAGATCTACTGGTTGTCTATCACTTATGCAGGTTGTACTATTTGGCTTTGCTAGGTTGACACCTCATCTTCAGGTATGCCTGGTGCTATTCCTGGCATGCCCTCCTGCTTTCTTCATTGAACCAGGGTTGATCCCATGGCTTGATGGTAATGGTTGAGTAGGGGATATGCCGGACCATGAGGTTACAGATTATGCTGGAGTTCAATTCTGCTGATGTTGGTGGCCTACAGCAACGCATGGAAACTCAGTCTTGAGTTGCTAGATCTGTTCAAAGTCTGTCCCATTTAGCACAGTGTTGGTGTCACACAACACAATGGAGGGTTATTCTCAACATGAAGGTGGGACTTCATCTCCCCAAGGACTGTGTGATGGTCACTCTTACTGATACTGTCATGGACAGATGCAACTGCAGTTGGCAGATTGGTAAGGATGAGGTCAAGTATCTTTTTCCCTCTTAGGGGTATCTCTCCACCTGCTGCAGAGCCAGTCTAGCAGCTGTGTCCTTTAGGACCTGACCAGCTCAATCTGTAGTACTGTTGCTGATTGACCCTTGGTGGACATGAAAATTCCCCACCCAGAGTACATTTTATGCCCTTACCATCCCTCCATGCTTCCACTAAGTGTTGCTCAACAGGGAGGATAACAAATGATCACTGAGGGAGGGTGGTACGTGGTAATCAGCAGGAGGTTTCCTTGCCATGTTTAACCTGAAGCCATGAGACCTCATGTGGTCTGGAGTCCACGTTGAGGACTCCCAGGGCAACTCCCTCCCAACTGTATTCCACTCCCATCTCTGCTGGGTCTGTCCTGGGATATATCCAGGGATAGTGATGGTAGTGTCTGGAACATTGCAAAGGTCTGCAAAGCCTAGCCATCATCTACAAGGCACAGTCAAGTATGAGGAAATACTCTCCACTTGCCTGGATGGGTGTAGCTCCAACAACAGTCAAGCTTTACACCACCCAAGATAAAGTAACACGTTTGATTAGCACCACATCCTTTCCTTCCACCACTGATGCTCAGTAGCAATGTGTACTATCTACAAGATGCACTACATATATTCACCAAAGATCCTTAAACAGCACTCTGCAACTAGAAGGTCAAGGGCAATGAATACATGGGAACACCACCCCTTGCAAGTTCCCCTCCAAGCCACCCACCATGCTCACTTGGAAATATATTGCTATTCCTTCACTGTTGCTACGTCAAAATCCTGGAATTTCCTCCCTAAGGCCATTGTGGATCAACCCACAGCAAGTGGACTGCAACAGCTCAAGAAGGCAGCTCACCTCTACCTTCACAATGGCAGCTAGTGATGGGCAATGAAAATACTGGCCAGCCAGTGACACATGTCCCACAAATTAATAAAACAAAATCCTCCCCAGCATTAATGTCAATGCTATTGGGATTCAAGGACAATTTCAGAGCATCTTTTGAAATATGTTCGTCATTTGAGAGAAAAATTCTGGCAGAGATTTTTTTTTTCCCCACTATCTAGTCACGGTGTCCAGGCCATTGACGCTAATTTTGCCTTTACATACATTGTCACCCATTTCACACACTCAATAAACAGTCTACTTTTGATGCTGTACCATTGACTTGAAGGGAAATAAAAACTGAGTGTTGTAAAACAATCTGTCCATTAGCCATTATCCATATTACACATTACAAAGAGTCAAGATCTGCCTCCAGTTAATTTGACCATGAAAACCATCCTTGTATATTGAAGAGTGAGGCACAGTACAAAATTATAAGACATCCGAGTAGCAAAGCATTTGAAAATTCAAAGAAAAAGCTCTACTTGTTTGATCACGTCCTTCAGATGCCCAACAAAGCATCTGTTTCAGAAAACTCACCTGGGAACCTAAAGGAAAAGAAAGACATTGACAACAATACTGCAGCTGGTTCAGTGACATAAGCTGAGATTTGAAGAGCACCAACATGACACTAGAGGAGGCAAGAGTGCTGACCACTTTTCAAGTGATTATATTATGTTGTATTGATGAAAATCCGATTATGTAGATGAAATTAAAGAAAAGGTGATGTGATTTAATGTCAGAATTCCAAGAATATGGAGTATAATAAATATGATATTATTTTGTAAAACAAAAAAACATGTTTTTTTTTCTGGTGGTTTTGCTTAAAGGAATATATCACAAGTGGAAAATAAAATTATAAGAAGCATGGTTAGTAAGTTTTTCAGAAAGCAACAAAATTGCTGGTACAGGGGACAGCAAAGAAGGTTATCAAAGAGTACAATGGGATCTTAATCAGGTGGGCTAAGGGGCAGCTGGAATTTAATCTGGATAAATGCAAGGGTGGGATTTACACAGTTAATGGTAGGGCCGTGGGGAGTGTTGTCTAACAGACCTTTGTGCAGGTGCAGATACATAGTTCTTTGAAAGTGGTGTTACAGGTAGACAAGATCGTGAAGAAGGCATTTGGCATCTGTGCCTTCATCGGTCAAAACATTGAGTACAGGAATTGGAATGTCATGTTATGGCTGGACAAGACATTTGTAAGCATGTGTGGAGTACTGCATATAATTCTGGTCACCCTGTTATAGGAGGGATATTATTGAACTGGAAAATGTGTTTTTAAAAAAAAATTTACAAGGGTGTTACCAAGACTGGAAGGTTGGAGTTATAAGGAGAGGCTGGATAGACTGAGACTATTTTTCCTGGAGCATACAAAGCTGAGAGGTAACCTTATAGAAGTTTATAAAATCATGAGGGGCCTTTCTCCAGGGTAAGGAAGTCCAAAATTTAAAGGGCATAGATTTAAGCTGAGAGGAGAAAGATTTAAAAGGGACTTGATGGGCAACTTTTTCAGAGGATGGTGCACGTATGGAATGAGCTGCCAGAGGAAGTGGTAGGGGCAGGTGCAGTCACAATATTTAAAAGACTTTGGAACTAGTACATGGATGGGAAAAGTTAAAAGGGATATGGGCCAAATGCAGTCAAAGAATTTGTTTCCACACTATGACTCTATTTTATTGCTTAGGGAACACAAAATGTTTCCACTATTATATTTAAGAAATGAATTCCTGACATTAATCTAAGTAATTTTTTATTCTCTCAGGCCTGTACCAGCAACATAGGCTGACGAAGATCAGAGATGACGGATCCAGTGAATGACAACTTTATTAGTAATTTGCTTCCTACTGCATGGTCCCACCTTCCCCTCTACTCCTCTTCCAAATTGAATCTTTGCAGATCAGTACCTGCTGAGAGCTAGCTAGGAACATCATTATTTGAGTTATCATCCAGTTCACCTTCTAGTGAAAGATCTCGGATCTCAGGGTTACGTCAAGTGGCAAGATCGATCTCCTAGAACCCATATAACCAGTCATCAATTCTGCTTCAATTAAAACTAATAAATTGAACTAATTAGAGAGGGTACAATGGTTTCAAACATTTCTTCGGTTCACTTAACAGATAAACTTTGAATAAAAACCAAAAGCACTGTGAATGTTGTAAATGAGAGACAAAAATATAAATTGCTGGAAAAGCTCATCAAGTCTGGCAGCATCTGTGGAGAGAAATCAGAGTTAACACCTCAGGACTCCCAGAGTAGGTAAATGGTCAGCGTGTTTTGTACACACCAGTTTATTCAAGACTTTGGGACCCATTGTCTGGCAGCATCTGTGAAGAAAAATCGGAGTAAATGTTTCAGATCTGGTGACCCTTCCATCCAAAACATTAACTCTGATTCTTCTTCACAGATGCTGCCATACCTGAAACTTTTCCAGCAGCTTCTGTTTTTGTTCCCGATTTACTGCATCCGCAGTTCTTTTAGTTTTTATGGAGACCCGTGGTTTCAGGTTGCTCAATCTTTTGTTGCCTCAGCCGGTCAAGAATCATTCATTTATTAGCCACTAGGTGGAGTGCTTCATGAGAATAGTGGCTTCCACTTATGTAGGAACATGGTCATTGTTCATTGCATGTTTATAACAGCTTACTCACTGCCAGTTGATTTTGAAGAGTCAACAACTAATGTGCTAAAAGAATTTGTGGCTTCAGTTATCAAGCTTTGATGGAGGAGAGCTCATTCCAACAGAAGTAAACCTTTATCGAATGAGAACTCAGCAACTGGAAGAATGAATAAACATTTCTGCAACGCCCTGTCTGGAAAAGATTGAGGGGGGGAAAGTGGTTTTGACATGGTGCTATAGAAATGATTACCCTGTTCCCCATTTGCAAAGACAAGGGAGAGTCTAAAAGTGGGTGTTTGGCATAAAATTTACTTAAATTTATGACTAATGAATGCTGATATAAGCAAATGTATGAGCTGCCCTTTAATTAGAATTTGACATTATAAAACTGTGAAACTGTGTGCTAAATATGTTTACATGATATTTAAGCTCTATGAAGAATGTAGCAGTATGAAAGCTGAAGTTATTTTAAGGGACCGAGTTGGAAACATGCCACCCAGTGCATTAATAAAGTGCAGTGCAAAAATAATACACAGAATGTGGAATGATTTCTGCGGTTTATATATAGTCAGGAGATCCTGGCAAATGTTCTTACAGCACATTTAATAAAGTTGTTGGAATGTCAAATTTTTAAATTTATATTATGTTTATCCATGTTCTTTTGAATAAGTATATAAACAGTGTGTTGGAGGGCTGTAATCCTGTTCAGGGTTTGGTTCACCGGCCCCGAAACGTTAACTCTGATTTTTTTTCTTCATAGATGCTGCCACAGCTGCTGAGCTTTTCCAGCAACTTCTGTTTTTGTTGCTGATTTACAACATCCGCAGTTCTTTCGGTTTTTATTCAGGGGTTCGGTTGATGTCCAAAATGAAAGAAGTGACGGGTAGGTATTTGCTGTTAAATATTGAGTCACACCTTTCTAACACTCAGCTGGTAGTTTTTGTAATTATATAAAATAATTTTAATGGCAGTAAGTTAATTTCATGTAAAAGCAAAATATTGTAAATGCTAGAAATCTGAAACAAAAACACTGGAATCACTGAGGAGACGAGCAGCATCTGGAGCGAGAAACCAAGAAGAACGTTTCCGGTTCATGATCATTCATCAGAACTGGAGACGAATAGAGATGTGTCAAATATTGAGCAAATACAGGGGCTGAGAAAGGATGAGGCAGGAAAGAATAAAAGAGAGGATCTGTGATAGGGTGGACAGCAGAAGAGATTAAAGACAAAAGGGACAATGGTGCAAGATTAAAGGAAATGTTAATTGGTCGTGCTTAAAAAAATATTTAGGGGGAGGCATCACTGGAAAAAGGGGCATCATCAGTAGCTATGATTCTTTAAAATACTGCCATATGATCATTTACATCTACTCAAACAGATGTGATCTCAGTGTAATATTTCATCCAAAACATGACACTTACAACTATGCAGCACCCCCTACGCAGTGCTGCACTAGAGGGAGAGCTGATATCTTTGTGCTTACCCCCTTATCCCAGTACCTTTGACTCAGGTGAGATTGCTACCAACCGAAACACATCGGTCCTATTTGATCTCTCGAAATTCCCTTTCCCCCTGTCTTCTAATTGTTAAACTTTCTATATTGGGTTGACGTTGACTTGAGTGCTCCAGTTTATACTTCCTATATCAACTGTGCATTGTTCATTGAAGCCTCTTCAGCCCAGTTGGTTACAGATTTATACAGTTGCTTTCCCTGTTCACATAGGTCCCTGATGCCATGTAGATGATACTATGTGACCTGGCTCTCTAATTACGGCTGTAATCATTACATAAACCAACAAAGAATGTGGGCAAATGTAAATGTAATGAATGCCAGTTATTTACTGCTGACCAGCACAAACAATCCCTTTAATCTGACATGTTTATGTCAGAGGTTTCATCCAACTTCATCTAACCGTATTACTTTATCCTTCTATTCCCATCTTTGTTACGTACCTTTCTAGCTTCCTCTTTAATCCGTCCAGGCTGTTTGCCTCAAATGTGCTATGGATGCTTGCTTTTCTGAAAGTCAGGGGCGGGAATGTTTAGTGATAACTGATGTGCCATCCACTTGTCAACCAATTAATTAAGAACCGATACGCAGAGAATGGGTGGGTTTTTCAGCCTATCACAGGCTTGGTAGTCGTGTCCTGAGTTGCCTGAAGTTGCTGGCTAATCAGATTATGGATTGAGGGCTATTCCTTAGTGAATTGAGAAGAAAGAGGTTAAGTGATTTTTATCTTGTTAGAGTGGGAGTCAAGGGAGAAGAGTGGATCAGGAATCTAGCTTTCAAAGGCTACCCTGTTGCCTTATTTCCAAATGCACCCCCCCCACCCCACCCCCACTGTGTTGGAGTAAATTGAGTATTTCCTTCTTTCCCAGTGACCAAGTAGGCAGTTTGCCTTGGTTTCCAAATTAGGAAACTGAGTAATTGGAGACGTGACAAATTTAGATCCTTAAGTAGCCATTAGTTTGTGGCAGCTTGAAAACCCTTTGTTGACCTCCTCAACCAGAGCTTAATTGGTGAGGTGGGGTAAAGGGAACAAATATCTCTCTAGTGCCAACTTGCCCAATTATTACCCCTTCTTGCCAGCCCTTTTGCTACCCTCAGGGAGAGGAAAATTCCATCCCGTGTTGTTGTGATTTCCACATCTAACCACTCTTTGGCTGGTAATAGGAGATTGCAAAGATCATGTCAATTATGATTTGAACAAACACTTTTTTCTCAGTAATGTCCATCAATGGCGTCAAACATTTTCCTCTGAATGGCATGATTTATTTATAAAAGCTGTGCTTGTAGCTCCCCTTTACCAAATTGCTCAGAAACTTAGCTGTCTAGAGCTATCACATGAGTAAAACCACATCCTACAGACTGTGTAATTAATTTAAGAACACAAGTAAGAAGCACTAGTTACTGTAAAGTAAATGTTCCTGATTATATTGGCAGAGTTTACATCTAATCAAGAATTAATCTGTGATTTCATGGAAAAGTTACCAAATCAAATTAGTCCAGGCATGACAGTTATTAGTTCTCCAGAATGAGTTCAGAAATAAATCATCTTAGTGTTTTCTGCTGCAATAACATTAATTGTTTCATTTACGTTATGGTCTTTATGTAGTGCTAAGAAGCCACAGTAGATGTCTTGAAGCAGGAATGCATCTGTTATTAGGAACACCACTGAGTTTCCTCAGCTTCCTCAATGAAATTTTGATTGGTCTCCAGAAATGCATAGAGTTTCTTGTTGTCACTAAGTTATTAGCAATTCATGATTGAGGCTTATCTTCACTACAACCTGTTGCTACAAAAGGCCATTGTCAGTGGTTTCAGCTTAGGAAGAACTGACAGGATACACTTTAAGTACCAGATTTTCGATCAAAATCGTTCAGTCTAATAACTATAAAGCTCCAATCATATTGCAGATACATTTTTAGCCAATAGTGGATCTTGGATTCAGAGTGCAAATAGCTGTAAGTACCCTGTATTAAAAAAGAAACTTGCATTTATATAGTACCTTTCACAATATCTGTATATCCCAGAGCACTTTATAACCAATTAACTACTTTTGTGTGGTTACTATTGTGGGTGTGTGTATATATAGGGCATAAAGTAGAAAGTCATTTCTACCTGTTATAGTGAAAGCAACCAATATCTGCTCTTACTGATTTTTCTACTTGCTTTAAATTCTCAGCAGCCATTGTCACATTACTTGATTTTTTTTTTGTTTTCTTTCGTGAACAGAATAAATTTTGTTACCCAAAGCTTCCTTTGAACTATAAGAACTCCTAAATCTGAAACAAATTTGGTTACACTGCATGCCTTCACTCACCTGCGTATTGAAGTTTGCAGGTTTGTTGGTTTGCTACAGGCAATCTATAGCTTTCCATGGGAGTAAACCAAAAACTGCATTTATCTCCACGTCATTATTTCTGTTCTTCACTCATTTAGTGAAAGGACTAAGAAATAATAACTAGGCCCCTGGGGAGAATGCAGGCCACAAAAAAATGGGGTCAGGGAGATGATGTAAGCAGCCTGCAGGCGGATTCTTCTCTACACACAGATCTGTGCACTATCCAGGTCTCACTGAAGGTAGACCTATTTATGCAAAGTGTTCAATTGCATTGTTTTTCATTAAAACAGCGAACAAATAAAATTGGATCTTCTTGATAGAAATTCAATATATGACAATTTATTTTTCCAGAAAGAAATTTTAAATAATATATGTACCTTGATTTATTGTAAAGGGGGGGCTTTTTACAGAAATCTATTTCTATGTGAACTACACTGGATATGGGCCTGTAAGATATACGTATCAGAAAGCTTTTGATCAACAATTAACATTAGAAATTGTTCCTCCAGCATCTGTGCTCAAATGTTATAGATGTTAAACACAACAGTTTACATACAACTTTATATGTATTTTGAGTGATTAATGAAAAATGTAAATCAGAACCCTCCCATATTTATATAAAAACATTTGATCCTTTGAGACCTGAAATTAATATTTTATAGTAGAGTGCATGGATATGAGATTCAATAATTCAATGCACAAGATAATTAAATATTGAGAATCTGCTTATTTTTGTTATTACTGAAACAAATGCAAATAAACAAACATGCTTTGCTTTGGTTTTGCACTTGTTATATGCTAAATTAATTGCAACAAACTTGCTGCACTCATCAAAGGATTTAGCTATTTATGCTGCTGATGAAGTAATTACATATATTTGACAGATGCAATGATTAATAGTTTGAGAACAACTCATAGCTATACTTTTTTTGGTATCCAGATTTCCTGTGCTAAATTTCACAAAGATGAAGCCTTCAAGTTTGGATTGCTTTGAGTCAGGCTTCATGCAGCAAATAAAGTAAATCTACTCTGTAATGTACATTTTAAGCAGGAACATGAATCACAATATCAAATGCAGTCCTGTAAGATATATGTTTCACAAAGCTTTTGATCAACAATTAACATTAGAAAGTTTTCCTCCAGCATCTGTGCTCGAAGATGTTAAACACAATGGTTTACATCCAACTTTATATGTATTTTGAGTGATTGGCAGCAATGAAAACTGTAAATCAAAACCCTCCCATATTTATATAAAAAACGGAGTCCTGAAATTCATATTTTATTTACAGCCAATTGTAAAATAGCTTTTCTATAATTTTCAATTTGTTGTTTCAATTTATCTGTTTTATGCACTGAGCTTTCCATGAAACTGTGAAATACTGCAAAAGGTTTCTTTTATTTAAGAAGCTAACAATAGTATTCGCGTAGGTCTTTGACAGAATCCTAAATCTTTGGCATCAGAGCATTATGCTTGAGCCAGTAACTTCACTCCAGTAGACGTGAACCCTTTGACACCGGCCCTTCAGTGAGTGAGAATGGTGGTACATTCCGTGAAGCAGCAATGATCGAGTATCAGCTGGTGCGTTCCCACTGACATACCGTCTTACTGTCTCTCCCTCACTTTGTAGGTGGAATAAGCCTTGCTGCTAGCCCCTGGGCCGGGAGGTTTAAGCAGATGCTGAGCTGTGGATAAACTGAGAGCGGGAGAAACTGCATTTGGAGCTGGAGTACAGTGCTGACATATTATTCAGTTACTGAGCTGAGCAGAAAAGTCATGGCTTCAAATTTTAATGACATTGTCAAGCAGGGATATGTGAAGATTCGTAGCAGACGCTTAGGGGTGAGCATTTTTCTTTAATGCTTTGTTCTTTACGTCAAAGCATTGTCTTTGTGTCAATATTTACAACGGAGTATATGTCATTAGTAAGAAGTGTAGCTCAGGTACTAGCTGTTAGAGTAGATTAGCAACGAGGGATTATATCCAGAGTTTATAATGATATCATAAGCACTGTACTTGTTTGGCTTTTTAATTTCATTGTGCAACATTATTGTACATTATAATAAGAAACATCCTTGAGGAACAGTTTTGATTATGGTTTTGGAAAAGTTACTCTTTATACTGCTTTTGTTATAATTTGAACATATAAGCTTAATTATTTGAAGACAGAAGGGTGTCCCAAAAAGAACATTGTTGAAATTAAGTAAGTAAAACATTATCTAGTGAGTGAAATGAAATGGTATGTGTAAAATTAATATTTATTTTACATTTGGTTGTAATCATTCAAAACAAATGGTTTTACTTCCAAGTCTGCGAAAGAGTAGAGTACAATGAAGGAAAGTTTCTTGTTCAAAATAAATAATGCTTTACAAGAGCATAATAATGAAATTGACTAATGAAATGATGGTACTGATTATTTCTCTTCACTTTTAAAATGTATTTAAAATTCATCATAGTGTACATTGTTTGAAGTTGCATCAGATTGTGGTATGTATTAAGTGGCAACACTGCAGCTGACTGTGCAATACGTCCTTTTATATCAATGTATTTGAAATGATTACTAAAATATTGTTCCTATTCATGTTTGGAAGAGCTTGCATCTATATTGTGTTTCCTGTATTGTGAATTATTGGCTACTTATAATGTTGATAAATCCCTGACATAATGAGATGAAGAAACCTTATATATATTAAGCAATCTCATTGAATGTCATTGATAAACATCATTTTATTTGGTTGAATAGCTCAAAGTTGAGTTAAGGTATCAAGTGAAGTTGAGATAACTTAAAGTTGCTTTGTTATAAAGAACTGTTTGACAATTTTTATTTTGCTTGATAAAGGAAAGATCATCATTTTTCTGGACCATGTACATGACCGTGTTTTATAGTAAACAATATTTGCTTTAGTTTACATCATTGTGTTGGATGATTGAAAGGAGGCATTGCAAACACTTTGCTATGAATACAGTGCTCTTTGAATGTATGGTGCATGGAATTGGGAGAACATGGGGGGGGTAGGGTTAAAAAAAAGAGTGCAAGTGGATGTGAAGTACGCAGGCAAAACACTGAAATAGTGGTCAATGCTCTGGAAAGATCATGCTATATCTGTCCTTGAGATCAAATAAAGAAACTGTAAGACACTAACACCCAGACAGCCTCCTGGGCTTAAGTGGTCTAATGCTAGCCTGTCTGCTTGTTCAGTTATAGCCACATTCTACTAAATTAGATTTGCACTTTTTTTATTAACTGTTAAGTGTTCAGACAGCACAGAATTTTTTGTCAGCTACTAACAACTTAAGGTTCTTTTGGATTGCATTTCAAATTTGTATAGTTTTTAAATGCTATTTGAGGTCACAGCCTAGACAAATAGGAGCAAAGTATCATCAATTATAGATGCCGTCAATGTGGAACCACAGAATTATTGCAGCATAGAAGGATGTCACGTGATCCTTCACTACCTGTGCCAGCTCTCCACAAGAGCAACTCAGCTAGTTCCAGCACCCTGCCTTGTCCCCTTAGCCTGGCATTCCTTCTGTTTTCCACACAATTACTCATATATCCCTGTTGAAAGTCATCATTGATTCTGCTTCCACCACACTGACAGGCTGAGGTTTTCAGATCCCAGGAACTCATTGCAAATTTGTTTTTTTGCCTCATTGTTACCTTTTTTGGCTCTTTTTGCCATTCTCCTTGCATTGATGTCCTCTGATTCCAGACCCTTTTATCAGTGGGATGCTTCTTGCTGTCCAGATCCCTCACTATTCTGAACATATATCTGACAGATCTCTAAGTTGAACAACTTCAGGTTCTCCAGCCAAGCTACATAACTGAAATTGCAAAGGCACCCCTTCTTCAGAACTATTCTTGTACATTTTGTTTCCTCACCCACTCTAATGTCTTCACGTCTTTCTTGAACTCTCCTCTTCAGAATTGGACAAAACACTCCACTTGAGGGCCAAATCAGTGTTTTATAAAAGTTAATATAACTTCTTTGCTTTTTGTAATCTATTCATCTATTTATAAAACTTAGTTTTTTTTCATGTGAAAGACACAGGTTTTTATGTGGTACCATTTCTGAACCACAGGAATGCCCCAAAACACTTTTTAATCACCAAAGTACTTTTGAAGTGCAGTCATTATTCTAAGCTAGGAAATATGGCAGCCAACATTAGCACATTGATGTTTATGGAAACTTGCTATGTGATAATGACCAGATAATCTGCCTTCATGATGTTAATTAAGTGATAGATATTGTCTAGCTCATCAGGAATAACTTCTGCCTTTTCAATGAAAATATGCCAAAGGATTTTTTATATCCACTAAGGAAGCAGAAGGAGCCTTGATTTAACATTTCATCAGAAAGGTGGTAACAGTGCAGAATACCCTCAGTGGTCCATTGGAATAGCCATTTTTAATATTAATAGTTAAATTCTTTAGTGGAGCTCGAACCCACAACCTAGTGATTCAGAGGCAAGTGTGTTATCAGCTGAGCAGCTACAACATAGGAACAAGAGTAGGCTATTTAGCCCCTTGAACCTGTTCTACTATTCAGTGAGATGATGCCTGATCTGTTTCCTAACTCCATGTACCTGCCTTAGATCACATCTTTCAATACCTTTGGTGAACAAAAAAAAACTCTCTCAGATTTAAAATTAACCACTGATCCTGCAGCCACTGCCATTGTGGAAGAGAGTTACAAACCTTCTCCACCCTTTGTGTCGAAATGCTTCCTAACATCTCTCCTTTATGGACTGTCCTTAACTCTCAGACTATGCCCCCTGGTTCTAGAATCCCCAACCAAAGGAAATAAATTATCGTTATGTATCCTGCCTTTTCATGACATGATCTTGAAAACTTTGATCAGATCACCCCTTAATCTTCTAAATCTTACAAAAAAAACCAAGTTTGTTTAATCTCTCCTCATAATTTAACCCCTGAGGTCCAGGTATCATTCTTGTAAACCTACGTTGTACTCCCTCCAAAAAATATATCCTTCCTAAGGTGTGGTACCCAGATCTGCTTGCAGTACTCCAAGTACAATGTAGACAGGGTTTTGTAATTTAACTTCTGCATCCTAGCACTCCAGTCATACAGATATAAAGCCAACATTCACTTAGCTTTCTTATTTTCTGCACCTGTTTGTGACATTTTAAAGATCTATGTACCTGAACCCCCCCCAGGCCCCTTTGGACATCCACTGTGTTTAACTTCATACCATCTGGATAGTACATTGATCTATCCTTTTTCAGTCTAAAATGGATAACCTAACACTGGCTTATATCTACCTCTGTTTTGAACATTCACTTAGTCTATCAATATCACATTATAATTTTATGCTATCATCTACATTGTCTACCATGCCATCTAACTTTGTGTCATCAGCAAATTTGAATATATGGCTTTCTATGCCATTATCCAAGTCATTAATAAATAATTTGAATAATTGAGGTCCTACCTGTAAAATGGAATTCTAGAACCGTGTTAACTTATTTTATGACCACATCGGGAGGGGATATCTCTTTTTTTCTCTTTTTAACCCCTTCTCAAACAGTCACACAAATATTTAATTTCCTTTTAAACTTACAGCTGTCACATTTCATTTGAAATATAACTAACTAGATCAAAATAAAGGAGATAAATTACAGAAGTTTCTGGAATGAAGGAAAGGGAAATTTTTATCACCTACTAGACTTAAAAAAAAAGGTAAAAACATGACATAAACCTTCACATGAATACCAGTAATAAACTTGAAAGGAAAGTTGGGAAATGTATCTAGTTCAGATCAGAAAGTAAAAGCAATTGGAACTTAAACATTTTTAGAGTCCATGAGGTTTGAGAATGAGGTCAAGTCCTGAGTGTTTATCTGTTTATCTCATTTCTTAAAGTTAACTGATATCCTTGTCAGTTAGTGGTGCTTTTCTAAGTTGCTTTTATCATTGGACGTTGACTTTGAGATTCAAACAGCGAGCTGGAGTATGTATTCCTGTTCTTACTTTTTCTCATGTCCCTCTGTAGCTCAAGAACAGCTATTGGAATATAGTTCAGTGCTCTAGAGTCCAATTCTGATGTCTTTTTCAAGAGTGATGATCTGCAAGTGCCTTTCATCCCCACATACTTTCCATATAGGTGTGCATCAAATGGGAGATATAGGTCGGAGTTTCAGTATTGTTTAATACTGAGGTCAATTTCACTTCACTTGGTGATTTCGTGAGCTTGTTTCAGCCAGGTCAAGAGGAGACAGCAGCTATTTTAGGTTAGTAATGGCCCTTTTTAAAAGTCACTTCAGCCCACAAAGGACTCTGGTATTAAAGTAAGATCATTGAAGCTGAATATTGATAATCTAAGTTTACCATTATCACAATGCCTCCCAACCACAAAGTACAGATGCAGAGAATACTTTGCCTTTGCGTTTGCAGTGAGTGTTCTCATATCGGATCAATATGAAATAGTAATGCAAACATGGAATCCTCATTCGCTCTCTTCATTGTAACCTGGTTTCAAAACCTGCTTTGGGATTGGCAGGTGGACTTATTCATCAAGCTGCACCATGTCCCAAATTCTTAACCCTTCACTGCTCAGATTTATAATCCATTGAAAACTTTTTTTTTTACCAAATTTGACTTCTAGGATGTTGGTGGGTTTGTCTCCTACAGGAGTACCTGGATTTCCATCTTGCATCTTGTGGTCATTTACCTGCCATGAACCTAGTTTGACTGGTTGGGGTTTGAGACTTGGTTCTGACCTTTTTGACCTCCCTGTGGATAGTTCTGTGTTTAATTCCCTGTATTGCACCTGTGGCCTCCGCAGTGATGTCTACTTGGGGGTATGTTCCATTCCCTTTTCC